CAATATTATCAGATAAGAGAAGAGATCTCAATCAATAAATACAACGTCTTAAAGGAGGATTGGATAAGTTGATAGCTGCAAATGATGCAGTTGAAGAAATCAAAATAACATTAAAAGATATGCAACCAAAATTAGAATAAGCTAGTATTGATACAATTAAAATGATGGAGAAATTGAAAGTAGATAAATAAGAGGCTGATGATACTTAAAGGATTGTAGCAAGAGAAGAATCAGAAGCTACTAAATAATAAGAGGAAGCTACTCAATTGGCTACATAAGCAGAAGCATCTGTTGCTGATGCAAATAGAACTTTAGAATTGACAATTGTTGAAGTCTAAAAATTGAGAAAGGAACATTTAGTTGAAATCAAAAGTTTAGGATCTCCACCTAATGCTGTTAAAGTTACTTTAGCAGGTGTAGTTATATTGATGCAAGAATATATTAAATAAAATGGTGGTGAAATTATATTAACAATGAAAGAAGGTTAAATTGGAGGTAAAAAGGAAGAGAATTTTTTTGAAACTGCTAGAAAATATTTATTAAGTGATCCATAAAAATTATTAGATTAATTATTAAAATATGATAAGGATTCTACTAATCCTGCACATATCAAGAAATTGGAAGAAAAAGTTATACCTCAACCAGAATTTAATATTGATGCTGTCAAGAATTGTTCTTTTGCTACCAAGTTCTTGTATATGTGGGTTAAGGCTATGTATGATTATTATAGAGTCTATACTGAAACTAAACCACTCAGAGATCAATTAATTGCTATGAGAAAGATTGTGGAAGAAAAAACAGCTGAATTAAAGATAAAGAAGGAGGAATTAGAAAAAGTTAATGCAAAAATAAGAGAATTAGAAGAGATGTACAATCAAAAAATATTAGAGAAAGAGGATTTGTAAAATAAAATGAAGGAATGCGAAATCAAATTAGAAAGAGCATAAAAATTAACTGAAGGTTTATCTGAAGAAAAGGAAAGATGGGGTAGAGATATTAAATCTTTGTAAGCTAAAGTAGAGTTATTGCCAGGTGATGCAATCGTAGCAGCAGGTATGGTTGCATATTCTGGACCTTTTACTTCCCATTATAGAACATAAATGGAAGGAGATTGGGTATTGAAATTAGGAGTTGTAGGAGTAGCACATTCTGAAGGAGTCACAATGAGATAATTCCTTGGAGATGGAGTAAAAATTTAAGCATGGAATATTGCTGGATTGCCAAAAGATGACACTTCAACTGAAAATGGAATTATTATTGATAAAAGTAGAAGATGGTGTTTAATGATTGATCCTTAAAATTAAGCTAATAAATTCATTAAAAATATGGGAAGAGATAATGCTGAGGGTATTGATGTGGTTAAAATTTCAGATGTTAATTTAATGAGAACTCTTGAATTAGCTATATAATTTGGTAAATGGGTTTTATTAGAAAATGTTGGTAGAGAATTAGATCCTTCTTTGGAACCTATTCTTAATTAATAATTAGTCAAATCAGGTACTTCATATACTATTACTATTGGTGATAAATAATTAACTTATAATGAAAAATTCAAATTGTATCTTACAACAACAATTCCTAATCCTCATTATTCTCCTGAAACATTTGTTAAAGTTACTATTATCAATTTTGCAATCACTGCTAGTGGATTAGAAGAATAAATGCTTGCATAAATTGTTGCTCTTGAAAACCCTGCTTTAGAATAAAAGAAGATTGAAATTGTTAAAAAAAATGCAGCAGACAAAAAATAATTGTTAGCTATAGAAGATTCAATTCTTAAATCTCTTTCAGATTAAAAGGGAGATATCTCTGAAATCCTATTAGATGAAACACTCATTAATAAATTATAAACCAGTAAAAGATTTGCTGCTGAAATCAATTAAAGAGTTAAAGATTCAAAAATAACAGAAGCATAAATTGATGAAGTCAGAGAATCATATAGACCTGTAGCATTCAGATCTTCACTTTTATTCTTTTGTATTACTGATCTTGCTAATATTGATCCTATGTATTAATATTCTCTATAATGGTTTACCAAATTATTTGTCTTGGGAGTTGAAAATGCTTTACCATCTTCAGTTATTGAAGAAAGATTGAAAAATTTAAATGATTACTTCACTTATTCACTTTATGAAAATATTTGCAGATCATTATTTGAAAGACACAAATTATTGTTTTCATTTATGCTTTGTATTAAAATTTTATAAGGAGCATAAATGATGGATGATAAATAGTGGAGATACCTTTTAGCAGGTCCTTAAGGAGATATTAAGATTGCTCAAAATCCAACTGCTTGGATTTCTGATAATTCTTGGCCTGATATATATAGATAGATTAAAGGAATGTCAACAATTGATGCATTCAAAGGATTTGATCAATTTTTCATGGATAATACAGATTAATTTAAAGGAATATGGGATTCTTCATAACCATAAAAGGAATAGTTACCTGAACCATGGTAAGGACAATTGACTTAATTTGAAAAATTAATCTTCTTAAAAGCTTTAAGACCTGATAAATTAGTGCCTGCAATTTAAGATTATATAGATTAATAATTAAATCCTAAATTTACAATTCCACCTACTTTTGATTTAGAAAAATGTTACAAAGATTCATCACCAATGTCACCTTTAATTTTTGTATTATCAGCAGGTAGTGATCCAGTAGCAGATTTTCTTAAATTTGCAGATGAATAAAATATGGCCAAAAGATTTGATTCAATATCTTTAGGATAAGGTTAAGGACCTAAGGCTGAAAGAATGGTTAAAGATGCTATCTAAAGAGGAGGTTGGGTACTCTTATAGAATTGTCATTTGGCTATTTCATGGATGAATGATTTAGAACGTATTTGTGAGGAATTGAATGAAAATATACATAAAGACTTTAGATTATGGCTAACATCAATGCCTTCAAATTCATTCCCAATTCCTGTATTGTAGAATTCTGTTAAAATGACAATTGAACCACCTCAAGGAATTAGAGCTAATTTAATGAGAACATATAAGAATTTAGATGATAAAGAATTGAGTGATTGTACAAAATAAGACATTTTTAAAAAGTTATTATTTGGTTTTTGTCTTTTCCATGCAATTATTTAAGATAGAAGAAAGTTTGGTGCAATAGGTTGGAATATTCCATATGAATTTACAAATGAAGATTTAACTGTTTGCAAAAGACAATTAAAAATGTTATTAGATGAATATGATAAAGTGCCATATAAAGTAATTTAATATTTAGGAGCTGAAATTAATTATGGTGGTAGAGTAACTGATGATAAAGATGTTAGATTAATAAAGACAATTATTAAAAAATATATTTGTCATGAAGCTTTAAGAGATGGATATAAGTTTTCAGAATCAGGTATTTACGTTTCTTTAGCTTCAACCAATTAAGAAGGATATCTCAATTATATAGATTAACTTCCTTTAAATCCTGATCCAGAAGCATTCGGAATGCATGAAAATGCTGAAATTACTAATTCATAAAATACAACTAGAATTTTATTAGAAACCGTACTCTCCATTTAACCAAGACAATCATCAGGTACTGGAAAATCAAGGGAAGAAACTATTGAAGAAATTGCTACTTTTGTTTAAAGTCGTACACCTGAAGTTTTGCCATTTGATGATATTTTTAAGAAATATCCTACTTCCTATGAAGAATCAATGAATACTGTTTTAGTCTAAGAAGTTATTAGATATAATAGGTTATTGGCAGCAATGAAAGAATCATTGATTAATGTTAAAAAAGCACTTAAAGGTCAGATTGTAATGTCTGATGAACTTGAAAGTCTTGCAAATTCACTTTTCGATAATTAGGTTCCTCTTATGTGGGCTGATAAAGGATTTCTCTCTTTAAAACCTCTTTCTAGTTGGACAAATGATCTCTCAGCAAGAATTAATTTCCTTTAATCTTGGATAGACAATGGAACTCCCAAAGTCTTTTGGATAAGTGGTAAATTATTTAATTTTACATTTAAGGTTTCTTCTTCCCTTAAGCATTTCTCACAGGATCATTATAGAACTATGCTAGAAGACATGTTATTGCAATAGATAAACTGAATTATGAATTTAAGATACTTGATACTCTTTCACCATAAGATATAGAAGAGAAACCAGAAGATGGATGTTATATTTTCGGTATCTCATTAGAGGGAATAAGATGGGATTACAAAAAACATTATATAACTCATCCTAGACAAAAAGAATTATATTCTGAATTACCATTAGTTTGGTTATTACCTTGTATTGAAAAGGAGTATCCAAAAGATCTAGTTATTTATTAATGTCCACTTTATAAAGTTGTTTCAAGGTAATTAAAATACTTATTATTTAAGAGCTGGAACATTAAGTACAACTGGACATTCAACTAACTTTGTCACTTTTCTTGAACTACCATCCAAAGATTCTGAAGAGTAATGGATAAGAGCTGGTGCTGCTGCATTTTTATCATTAAGATATTGAATAATATATAAACAAATATCATTTTATAAAATTTATTCTATTTTAATTATTTTTATATAAATTTAATTAAATAATATATATATATTATTATTTATGATCATAAATATATTATATTATTAAATAATCAATATCAATAAATATAAATTATATATTCTAGTCATTCATTTTTGTGCAGAACTGACTTTGATTTATCTTTATATATATATCCATAATATTATTGATTGCAACAACACTATTTTCAATTTTTAAAGAGAAAATAATAAAAAATGAAATTTGTGGTATATAATCAAAATAATATTATATTAATATATTAACATTAGTATTTTCTTTATTTCATTAATTTTTCAATCATATCTCTATTCCATTATAAGAATCAATATCTAATATAATCTAAATTAATTTATATTGATTTTATTATATTATTTTAAAGGATTTTATAATCTTTGTAGAAATATATCATTATTATTTCTATTTTCTATTCTTTTTTAATCAAAAATTGTTTGCCAAATTAAAAAATAATTTAAATTGAAATATAAATCATTAACTAATGGACTTCTACAATTAGATTAATGCATCATTAAAATATTCATCTTAATGAATTATGTATTTCATTATCTTCTTTTATGCTTCAAACATTTAGTCTAATTATTTTTATCTATTTTAAATCAAACAAACATTATTAACTTTTCTTAATTATAAATTAATTGGAGAAACTTGTCTTCTCACTGTTTGTCTGCTTGTTAAACTTTAGAGCTATTTATTCAACTAGATTAATCTCAATTATTTTTCATTTCCTAATGACAATTTTGGAATGTGGAACCTTATTTATTCTTTTTATTAGCATTCATCTTTTAAAGCTCTTAAAGATAAATTTGATATTTATTTATTTTTTTCGTTAATGTTTTCCTAACTGCTCCAACAGTAATTATTTTTCTTATTAAAAATTATTCTTCTTTATTTTTAAGAGATCTCAGTGCTCATTCTCTCTGTTTAAGGTTATTACAGGGAATTCATTACTTATTTATTACAATTTGTGCTTACTCTTTTTTTGGGTATGTAATAAAATTTTTGGTTTATCTATTCCTCTTAACATTTAATCATAGCTTTTTAACATAATTTCTACATTAGATTTATATGAAACTTTGAATTTTATTGCTGATTTAATTCTTAGTTCATAATTTTATTAATATTGATCTAAATTTTACAAAATATACTACTTTTCATTAGTATTTTACAATTATTAAAGTCTATATTAATAGTTTATGAGGTTATCAACAGACTTTTCACAATTACAACATTATTTATAAAATTTTAGGTTAATAATATAATGTAATAATTACATATAAATCTAAAAAGTGCATCATACTAAAACTTATAAAGAATTAAATCTCTTGATTTACTTAGCCCAGTATCATAAAGAGTTTTAGAATAAGTTCGTATTCAAGAATTAAAAAATATGAGAACAACAAAAAAAAAATTCAATTCACAATTAAAAGAGGTTTTACATTTAGACACTAATAAAAAAGATCTCAAAACTCATTTACCAAGCATAAGCTAAATTCCTAATTAAGATCAAGAGATTACTAATAAGATATCGAAAATTAAACTGAAGATTGTACCCAAAGAAGAAAACGAGTCAAAACTTAATTTGTAGAAATTTAAATTTAATGATCGAAATACTATTAAGCCAAATAAAGTATGCATCAAAAAAAAGGAAATAGATAATCAGTAAAAGAGAAGTCAAAGCTTTAATAATAAAATACATATTAATAAAGTTTAATATTAATTTATGGAATAATTAAAAAGTCTCTCAACAACAATCTTATATCATCTATCATAATAAACAAATTAATTAGATCGTTAATTTGATTAATTGGAAAATTAATTATCATTTTGATAAATTTATGTACATAATATCATTTATTTTAATACGTTTCTTGTCATTATCATATATGAATCATATATATAATTAAAGTTATAATTATTGATTATTATTATCTAATTTAAAATAAAAAGAAATTAATGAAATTACAATTTTTTATTTTTGTCCAATTCATTTTCTACATAAGTAATCAAATCAAACAAGTACATTTGCAAAGCTCCCCTAAAAAAAATTAATTTTTTTTAAATTATAATAATGACAAATTTAATAACAGTGATTTTAATGTTATCCAATAGAATTCTATTTTATTGAGTATTACATTGATTAACAATATTTCAAATTATAAATACTCTTTTAAATTCTTTAATTAAAAAAGATATGATTTATTAAATTAAATAAATAAGTATCTAATTAAATTAAAGCTTAGGAGTATTATTTTTATGATGAATTATCTTAAAATAAGTCAGTTCATATATTTGTTAAATTAATTCAAAAAAATAAACATATAAACTTTATTATAATTAGTTAAAATTTATGAAAGATTATTTTTGAATCAAAAAATGTTGTGATTAGTTTTTCTTTAATTAATATTTTTAGTTCTCTTTTGTTAATAAAAAATAACTTATCTTTATAACAATTAATCCTTTGAAATTTAATTAAACTATAGATTTAATCTTAGAATAAATTTTTTAATTTAATTTTATAGAATCACTCAATAAATGAATTATAATTATTAAATATAAGTGGTCAAAATGTAAAAATATCACATTTATTTCAAGTAGTCAAATAAAGATAGCTTATTAATAAAGTATTGACATTAGTCATCATTGTATGATTTAATTTTAGTAATAATGAACTTTTGATAATTAACCTTTAATTATTATTGAGGAAAAAATCAAATAGTTCTTAATATTTAATCATAATAATTTTAATAAAATTAATGGAATTAGAAGAACTCTATCCAAATACAAATTATTGGCAATATATTTAATAATTTGCAGAATCTTCTCAGAAATATTTACTTGATTCTATTTATTTGATTTATATTTTAATAGGAGTAACATCAATCTTTATTGGGATTTAAATTGGGTATTTTGATTTTTTGAATAATTAGAAAATCAGATGTATTAATTTCCAAGAAATAAAGATAGAAAATAGAGTAATATAAGAACTTGAGAGAATAAAAAGAAAAATCTAAAGAATATTTGTTAAAGGAATAATAAAAGTTAAGCAGATTTTCTATTATATTTTATTTCCTTATAGTTATAGCCATCATAAGCATAACATATTTTGAAATACAAGTAGTAAGATTCGAAATTCAAATTGCCATTAGTATTGGTTTAATTCTTCTTACAGAAGGATATAAAAAATATGAAAAATATAGATTAAGCTCAATAAAACATAATTTAGAGTAAACTGCAAAAGAAACAAAGCAAATAATTCTAGATATTCAAAAAGTAATTATTAAATATATTATTAAAGAATTTAGGAGATGACATACTAACACTAATAAAAAATTAATTTAGTCTTCAACAAGGTGATTATTTAAAATAAAAGATTGCTGCTACAGAGGTTTAATTGTAAAGTCAATTTGAATAAAAGTATAAAGATTAGATTGAGGAATTAAAGAAAAAAATTAGAACTCTAGAAGATAAGGAATTTTAATAAAAGCAAGAACTTCATAATTTTAAAAGAAATACTTAAAGTCATAAAACAGAGCCTATTTTAAAATAAAATCAGAATCTAAATGATGATGGCATTCCACTTTTAAAGAAATAGATTGTACATTTATAGAAAGAGGGATAAATATAAAAGGATATGATTTCAAAAGTGATCAATTTTGAATGGTGTTAAGATTGTATTGCAATGAAAGTACATTGTATAGAAGCATATTTTTAATAAGCTAAAACGATAGGTGATGAATATTAATAGAAATTGGAATAATTAGAGAAAGATAATCAGATTCAAAATTGATTATTAGTATTCAATCAAATATTTTAAAATCATTAAATTATTATATTTATATAAATGGAATTCACATTAACAGCCACAATTTTTAGTTTCTTTGGTTGGAATGTTTATTTATTAATAAAAAAATATAGGGAAAGGATGAGATAAAATTACTTGCAAAATCTAATTAATTAAGAATCTGATTATCTAATTATGAATGTAGCTCCATACAAAAAAATAAAATCAAACGAATAAAATGAAAAAATAGTCAAACCATCTTAAATAGAAGATGCAGAATCAAGTTCAGATGATTATGAAATTATTTAATATAGAAGAAGAAAGACAATTTTAGATGAAGTAAGATAAGAAAAATTTCAAGAGCAATCTTACATTTAAAATACAATACCATTTGATATGTTAAATGTTCCTAGTAGAAAAGATAGAAAATAATATAAAAATAATAAGGATTTTTCATTTACAAGTTAGAACTAAGATATAATGCTAATGAAAAGATTCAGAAAAAATTCTAAAATTAATATGGATGATTCATTACAATTTGAAAGTCCAAAATAAACTAACAAAAACTCTAGCAATAAGATTTCAGAAAAAAAGATAACTTAATTTGAATTTCCAGACTTAAAAGATAAATTCGAAACTTAAGATTCAAAGTAAGAATAAGTGAAATGTGTAACAGATTTAGTTTTTTAATTTGAATCAAAAAAAGATAATTAAACCTTAGAAGAGAATAAAAATATATCCATATAGTTAAATGTATAAGAAGATAAATCAAATAATTAGACAAATGATTAATAAAATTAATAATAAGTAGAAACTATAAATATTTTTGGAAAGTTTATAAGTTAGGCACTATCATAATAAAAGGAGAAATAATAATAAGAATAAAAATAATAATCCCCTTAATAATCATAAAAGGAACCAGAATAAAAAAATATTGGATTATTTTCAAATTTATTAAAAACAAATACTCTTGATTTATTTCCATAAAAATAAATATAACCTGTTTAATTAAATGAAATACCTTAAGTTCAAATATAAAATCTGAATAATCAGTTTTAAATAAACAATAATGTATAATAATAATAATAATAATAATAATAATAATAATAATAATAATAATAATAATAATAACATACATCTCTTTTTCAAAATTCACTTTAAAGTAATAATAGTTCAGTCCCTAGTTTTAATCTTAATAATTAAAATCAAGATAGTCTAAATAAAAATTTTAGCAATGATACTAAATAATCAAGTGTTATTTAAAATAATACACCATCAAACTTTACATTTGGGATAAACTCAAATAATTAAACAAATTCATAAATAGGTTTATTTGATAACATTGTTAATAAAAATGGTGGTTTATTTGGAAATTTAACAACTACATCAAATATTTGCCAAGATTAAACTAATAATAAATCAAATTTGTTTTAATCCCAACCTTAATAAACTTAAAATAATTTAATTTAAAATTAACCTAATAATTAAACTTCATTATTTGGAAACCTCCTTTCCACACAATAACCCAAAGAATAAAACCCATAAAGTTAAACAGGCGGTCTTTTTAATTTCAGTCCAAATACTTAAACTGGTAGTAATTTATTCTCAAATTTTGAAAAGAACTGATTTTGATATAGTTTATAAAATTATAGTTGAGTTCTATGATAAATTCTAACAAGCATTTATTATAAAATTATGAGTGATTAAGGTATTTTAAATTTCAGCTTAACTAGAAGTTCAAAATGGAGTGCCAACATAAATTTAGCCTTAAGAGAACTAAAGAAGACTCATGCATCTTTCAAGTTTGGTTAATTAAGTATTAAGTTCATAATATAAAAATAGTTGATTGGGCAAGGTAAAGATGATCCTGAAGATTTAGTAGAATTTAGTGTACATGGAAAACTATTAGCTGTATGTAGATGGTTATTATTTTTAGTATACAAGAAGATCATTGAATTTATTTGAAGCTGAGAACAAAATTAGATTATGGGCAATATGGATGATTGAGTGGATGTATATTTAAGTTTAATTTCATATTAGCTGGTTTGATAGATTCATCATTACAGTGATTTTATTAAATTCAATTTTATTAGCCACATAAGATTATAGTTGGAGAGAGACTAATTAAGAAGCACCTAGTACTTGGACAGACAGTTTCGAATATTTATTTACTGCAATATTTATTATAGAGTTCCTTTTGAAAATGATAGCAATGGGATTTATCCTTGATAAACAAACATACTTAAGAGATGGGTGGAATTTTATTGATTTTATCGTTGTAATAACAGGAATCATATCACTTTTCATTTCTACTAGAGTATCAGCTATTAGAATTGTAAGAATAATGAGACCACTAAGATCTATAAATTCATTGAAAGAGATGAAAGTTCTTATCATAACATTATTAGATTCCTTGCCTGCTTTGGTTAATGTGGTTATTTTTTTACTATTTATAATAATCCTCTTTGGAATATTGGGATTATAAATATTTATGGGAGCTTTAGAAAATAGATGTAGAATGACAGAATATCCTGTGGGGGATGTTTGGAAAGTCTCAAATTATACAAAATTATGTTAGGATTCTTCAAACTGTCCTGAAGGAACATATTGTGGAAATCCAAATACTTATAATCTGCCTTAACAAGAATCTGATGATAAGACCTTTAATTATGGATATACAAATTTCAATAATATTTTTTCGGCTACATTTACTATTTTTTAAGCTTTAACAACAGAAGGTTGGACAAAGTTGATTTTTATTTATTAGGAAGCATTGTCTACAGTTATAGTTTATATTTACTTCTTATTACTTATTTTTTTGGGATCTTTTTTTGTTGTAAACTTAATATTAGCTGTTATTAATGATAGTTTTACAGCTGCTTAAATAAGAGCCAGTATTAAAAATTCTTAAGCATTTGCTACATCTTTTCCTTAAGAAGAATAAGATGAAGAGATAGAATAAAATGAAGAAGGAGAACAATAAGTTGCATTGACTAATAATATCAATAATGAAGATTAGACATAAAATAATTAATTAGATCATGAATAATAATTAAGAAAACCTATTACTTAAAATATTAATGATACTAATGCCTTAAAAAATTAAGAGAATCAAAATAATGGTGAATAATAATAAATATCTAAGAGCAATACTATAAAATAAATTCAATAATCAGCTAGATCTTAAAAAAAATAAAGAAGTTTAAAATTAAAATAATCTAAGTTTAAGTAATTTCAATTACTTTTAATTGTTATTATAGAAACAAAGTAATTTTATTAAATAATAATATAGATATTTTTTGGCTTTTATCACATCAATTATTATATTAAATACAATTACTTTATCTTTAGACAGATATCCTATATCTAAAACTGAAAGTGATATTTTAGATATAGCTAATTAGATATTTACTGTAATTTTCACAATTGAAATGATTTTGAAACTACTAGCATTTGATACAAATTATTTAAAAGATTCGATGAATATCTTTGATGCTATTATAGTTATTTTATCATTAATAGAATGGATTCTTAGTAGTGCAGGCAATGATTCAAGTGGAGGAAGTTTTTCAGCTATTTAAGCTTTTAGAACTTTAAGATTATTTAGATTATTTAAATTAGCACGTACATGGATTAGTTTTAGAAAATTGTTATCAGCTATTGCAGCTACAGTTGGTGGTATTGCTTATTTTATTATTTTGTTATTATTGTTTATGTCTGTTGCAGCTCTTTTGGGTATGGAATTATTTGCTTATAAAACACCATATAGATACAACTTTAATAATTATTTGACTTCAATGTTAGTAGTATTTATGCTTTTAACTAATGAATCTTGGAATACAATTGCATATACATTTATGTATGATTTAGAATCTATATATCCAGTCATTTATTTTGTAATAGTAATTATATTTGGAAATTTTATACTACTAAAATTATTTATAGCTATTTTGATAAATAATTTTCATGAAGCAAATATAGATTAAAATTAATCTATAGAAGATAATCGTAATCTTTTTTCAAGTAGACATGATTAGTCTATGACAGAAAATCATTAAAGTATAAAAATAAATCAAGTGTCACCAGAATAAATTTAACAATCATTTTAAGTAATTAAATCTGCATCTAACTAATAAACAAATTATAATTCATCTATGAGATTCAAGAATTTATCATAATAATTTATGGCATCTACAATTATTTTAAATAATACAATGAATCAATCTTTGCTTGAAGGTGTTTCTTTATATATATTTCCACCTTAAAATAAAATCAGACTTAAGATTAATAAATTAATTAATTAAAAATATTTTGAATTCTTTATTCTAACAATTATAATTATCTCAAGTATTTTATTAGCTTTAGATGATCCACTCTCATCATCAAATAATATAACTCTTAATGTTATTGATGAAATAATTACAGCTTTATTTATTTTTGAAGCCTTATTAAAAATAATTAGTAAAGGATTTATAATTAATGGACCTGATAGTTACTTAAGATCTCCAGGTAATATATTAGATCTTGTAGTTATCATTTTTTCATCTTTAGCATTTGATCAAAGTTAAGCATAAACATTTTCAAAAATTAAGATATTAAGAGTTATTAGAGTATTAAGGCCTCTTCGTTTGATAGTAAGAAATGAGGATTTAAAAATGTCTATAAATGCTTTGTTCAATAGTTTATCTTAAATGATGAATATTGCATTAGTTTGTTTAATTTTCTTTTTGTTATTTGGAATATTTGGAGTAACTTAATTCAAAGGAGCATATTATTATTGTGATATATAGGATGTTAATGATAAATGGGAATGTTTTGATAAAGGAGGATCTTGGTCTAATAAGAATTTTAATTTTGATAATGTTTTGAATGCTATGATTACTTTATTTGTTATATCAACAACAGAAGGATGGATAAATTTAATGTCTGATGGAATTGATAGTAGAGGTATTAATCTTAATCCAAAAGAAAATAATGCTTATGGATGGGCATTTTATTTTGTATTTTTTATAATAGTTGGTTCATTTTTTATAATTAATTTATTTGCAGGAGTTATAGTTGAAGCTTTTTAAAGTGAGAAAGATAGATTAAGTTATATGAAAGATTTAACTAAATAAGAATTAGAATGGTATGAAATTTAACAAAATATATATTCAAGTGTTCCAATTGAGAAATTTAAAATCTCAAAACAAAAAATAATTAGATGGCTAAATGAAATTATATCATCAAATAATTTTGAGATGTTTATTTTGAGTATAATAATTTTGAATACTTGTGTTATGATGATTTAATATTTAAGATCTCCATAAGAATTAACAGATGCTATATAAATATTGAATTGGATATTTTTATCTATTTTTTCTATAGAAGCAATATTAAAATTAATAGTATATAGGAAATTTTATTTTACTTCAGGTTGGAATGTTTTTGATTTTACAGTTGTATTATTAACAATTTTAGGTGTAATATTAGAATAAAGTAATGTATTAAATAATGTTGGTACAGCTACATCTATTTTAAGAACATTTAGAATTTTTAGAGTATTAAGACTCATAAAGAGTGCAAAAAATTTAAGAATTATTTTTGGAACATTTCTAGTAACATTACCTGGATTAGTAAGTGTTGGTGGTTTATTAGGAATAATGTTATTTATTTTTGCTGTTGTATTTATGAATTTATTCCCATATGTAAAAAGAGGTGAAGGTATAACAGAAAATTCAAATTTCAGTTCTTTTGGAGTTAGTTTATTTACATTATTTAAATGTTCAACTGGTGAAGATTGGAATTTAGTAATGATGGATACTGCAAGAACTGCATAACCAAATGATATTTGTTTTGATTTTAATGATTATACTAATTATGCTGAATATGGGTTTATGGGATGTGGAAATGTTGGTGGAATATTATTAATGATTATATTTATGATCATAGTTTCATTGATTATGTTAAATTTATTTGTTGCTATTATCATTGAAGTATATCTATCTTATATAATTATTAAATAGGGATTCTAAAATATTAGCAAAGAAGAAAATGCACCAATTAAAAAGTTAGATATAGAGAACTTTTAACAATTATGGAAGGATTATGATAAAGATGCTACTGGATTTATGTAATGTAAATATTTTACATAATTTATGATTGCTTTACCATAACCATTAGGAGTAATTATATTCTTATATTTCTTAGTGGTCAAAATTAAAATATTCAGCAACTTAATAACGAATACGTGTGGCTTAATTGAATTTACCTGTATATAATTTAAATGGCAAGAATATGTATTTTTATCATTAAGCACTTATTTGTTTAGCCTAAGATTTCTTAGAATCAAGTGGATTTATAACTAAGTAAATAGATATATATCTTAAGTTTTGAAATATCAAAAGATATTGTTAAATTAAAATTGCAACCTTTAATAGAAAAAGCATTTTCTCCAGTTTCTAATTTATAGACAGAATTTGATAGTGGTTAATATATGGCTGCTGTTTTAATATAATAAAATGGAAAAAGGAAATTATAAAAATTAAAGAAATCTAAAAGTTCTTTAATTTAAGCTTAATATACTAATGATGATGAAGTCTAATAATTCGTTTCTTGATCATTTTATAAATTTATTATTTTCTATATTATTATCATTGTTTTAATAAATTAATAATATTAGACATTATTATGAATTAATAAATGCTTTTTATTGTTTAAAGAATTTAGTTGTTAAAAAAATAATTATTAAAATGAAATCAATTTCATTTTAAGGCAACATCTCGATTGAAGATTTATCTAATAAGAGAATTAATCTAGATACATAGTTAAAGCTTTCTGATGATTAATATGTTCGTAATATTTTACCATTAAGAATTCAAAATTTTGAAATTAAACGATTAGAATGGAAAGATTTTATTGGTAAGCCAGATGATGAATCTCCTTGGGTTGCTCATTGTTATTGGAACAATTCTTACGAATATTATTTTAATCATGATAGAGAATAAGTTAATTACAGAGAATAATCTCCATTACGTTTACCAAGAATACCATTACAATAAATTAATTAAGTTAATTAGTTAAATATCAAAACAGAAAGTATAAGGACATCTAGTGTTAATAAAATTAAAAGATTACCTACCCCAACTATTAGTTCATCACCTTAAAGAGCTGTTAATAGAAGTAATTCAAGTTCTGCATTAAGAAAATAATCCCCAAGTGTTCAAAAAATTAAATTAAATGTTAAATGTAAGTTTCTTGAAAAATCTTGGGCTAAATCCAAAAAAGATGATTTATTATTAGAACATGAAACAGGACATTATTTAATTGGTTGTCTATCTGCTTTAGAATTTAAAAGAAAAGTGGAATGCTCTGATATAATGAAATCAAATAATCATTAATAATAAATTAGGAATATTTTTAGATAGAATTTAAAAGAATATATACAAATTGAAAAAGATTATGATGAAGAAACTAATCATTATAAAGATGTTGAAAAATAAAAAATGTGGAATAGAAAATTAAAGGAATAATTACTTTTTTATGAATGTTATTTTAATCATTGAAAACATAAAATTGCAAATCAATCAATTTAAGTTTCTATTTCTATTCATTTTCTATTTATATCTCATTATTATTTTTCAGTCTTGAATTTAAAAATAATAATATATAAATATTTCCTAATTGTGATTTTTACATTATCAGAACTATATGGATATATAGACCAATAGTTTCTACATAATATAAAGTAATTTATTTTTGACTATGCTTTTCAAAAATATTAATGATTGCATATAAAACTATTCAATTATACAATTATAAAAATATGAAATATCTTGCTTCACTCTATATTACTTCATTCCTTTCTCTATAACCAATTCTAGTTGATTATTTATATATTATATATTAAGAGTAGATAAAATATGATATCCTGGATTCAAAGTAAAAATGAAGATTATATCATGACATAGGATAATACTATAAGTTTTGAATTTTCTAATCTCAATCAATCACAATACTTTCTCATTAATTTTAACTGCTCTGAAATCCTTACTCAATATTTCTATTTTATAAATATTTCATAAGCTTTCTTTTAACAAATAATTTATGTTCCAAAATATGTGCTCATGTATACTTTAAAAAGTTTCCTATATATTTTAAGATATCAACTATTTTCTATATAAGGATCATCCATTAGTTTATTATAAGTGTACTATGTCATAGTAGATGGCACTTTTGAAGTCTTCTGATCTTTCAATAATTTCATTTATTTAGATTTGTTAAAAGTAATGTAGAAATTCCATTATAACATAACATCTAAGCAATCATTAATATAATTATAATTATAATATCAACATTAATGTATTTTTTTAATTAAATATAGAGTAAGTAGAAATTAAAGTACGTATTATTAGAAAATAATGAATAAGATTTGCTTAAATTCAATTATTTTTAAGATTTAAAATACACTAATCATTTCTATTTAACAATGTTCTTGATTTCTCTCCAAATTTCATCTACTTATCTCTCTGCATTGATCTCATGCAAAATGCTTCTCCTACAATAATTAATATGAATATATACTATCTATAATAATCAACAATTGGAGATGTTTTATTCTAATATATTCTTAATCTGTTTCTAATAGTACTCTCTTTATCATCTTCTCTCTATATCAAATCCTCTCCTGTAATATCATCTTTTCCATATTATTTTGGAGGATTGAACTTATAGTTGTATGTTCTTCCAGAAGTTAGATGGGTCCATCTACCTCCTAAACGATCAATAACGGTATCTTCTCTGACGTTCATGAAGATAGCTTGATCAATCTATTATCCACTAGATTTTAAAATTTCATCTAATTTCTGAGCTTAAGGAATAGTTCTTGGAAAGCCATCCAAAATAGCTCCATTTGCACATGCAGGTCTAATTTTAAATATATAATTACTTAGATAACTAGTGTTTGATTAAATTACACATAACTTCATCCTCAATTAACTCTCCTCTATCCATAATACCTTTAAGACGCTTTCCAAAATCACTACCCGATCTTACTTCTTCTCTAAGAAGGTCACCTGTAGATAGATGACACATGCAAAAACGGGCCAGCATTTTTGCTGAATGCGTACCCTTTCCTATAAATATAAAACGCATAACTTACCAGCTCCAGGCATCCCCAATAATACAATACGTTTCTTCAATCCTTCTTCTTAACAACGATATCTTCTATACAACTCAGTAATTAGGGCCTTCTCAGAGATTTCTGAGTATGCTTTAGTATCCATTATTAATGAAAAAATAATTTTGTCAACTAATTATTATAAAATTTCATTATTCAATATCTTCTTCTCCAATTTCTTCTTCTAGCTCATCTATAACTTCTTCACTCTCAGATGCTATGTATATTATATAATAATAAATACCAGCATAATCAGGATTTTAATGATTTTTTAAGTGGGCGGTAAGATTGCTGGACTAACTAAATCTCTTTTGGCAATCAGGATACTTGCATGAATATGGTTTTTCTCCAGTATGAGTACGCATATGAGTTTTTAGATTGAAATCTAAAGAGAATCCTTTCTAACACAACTCACATTTAAATGGCTTTTCTCCAGTGTGTACTAATTAATGTCTTCTTAATTTAGAATTGTCAAAGAATGTCTTTTTACAAGTAGTAACAGGACAAACATAAAATTTAGGAGCAGCAACTTTTTTAATTTTAGGTTATTAAGCTACAGCTTACTAATGAGTAAAATAATTGGGTTACCTTTTTCATTTGAGTCATTTTTTGTAATAGTTAACTCAATTCTTATGTATTAGTAGTACTATTAGCTAAAAGTCTCTATAATTCTTAATGTGTTCTATTGATAGAAGCTTAATAATTAATTCTAGGTTTTTATTGTTTAGTATCATAAACATCATTGACTTTAACCCATTTTTTGATATAGATATCTTTGGCTCCAGGGAGTATATTTGGTACTCTAACTCTTTTGAATTCCCAACATTTTTATGGTAGATTGAGAAAGTACTCATCAGCATCGTTGAAATATTATTATTCACTTTCAGAGTCGTGTTGCATTAATAAAAATTATATGTAAAATAAAGTGACTTTCAAGATAGTAAATACATCAGACCCAAATTTGGCATTCAGAACAGTATCGTAATTATAATAATTAATGAAATATAGAGTACCATAAGAAGCTCCATTTAGTGCAGTTGTTAAATATGTTGCAGAAGAGGTATTATAATAACATAATAAAGAATAGTTTAAAGTGAATCCAGCTACAAGTGCCATAATAACAAATGCAGGGACTGGAGTATCACTTTAATAGACATCAGGAAATGTATTTTTGAAACATGGTTCAGAATTGAAGATTATTCCTAGAGATCGTGTAGGTTATTGTTGATATAAATATCATAAATACAATTTTAAATCATCCCATATTCCTTCTTTAATTACAGCAGCAATATTGAGATCATACAAAGTTTACCAACAGATTTCAGCTGCTTTTTATTTACTTACTAGTTTATTACAACTCTAAATATTAAATTGTAATCCATATTTAGCATAATCTTGGTTGGCTACAGCAAAACGATATTTAATATATTTGACTGGACCATTTATAATAACATTATATAGATAACATTATTAAATAGCTTTAATAGCAGCATGTGGATAATGTTCTAAAAATTTCTTACGTTGTTTGATGTTTCTCATTAAATTTAGCAATTTTAGATAGAATATAATTTTATGGAAGTCTTCTGGAGTAATTATTTCTGTGACTTATTCAACAGAATCATGAGTAGCAAGATGATCAACAGCATCCATAAGTATTTTAAAGTATTTCCTCATTTCTTAGTAGAGATCATCTCCACATTCATATCTTACAATTAATAAGAAGATTGAGATTGTAGTATCAAGCATCTCTTTAATGAAATTACGACAATGCATCTCAGATCCCAATTTAGAATGAAGTACATGTAATTTTGATCTGAAATAAGTACAAAACATGTTGAATCTTTATTCACGTGCCATCCTTCCTGTAAACTGAAAACAGTATGATACACATCTTAATTTCCCTTATTCCCAAAGTTTAACTTTATCTGGCTTATTTTAATTACAAGGTGTTTTTAAAGCTTCTCCACCAGGAATATATCGTGATAGATCAAGTTGTTAAATATATTGCATGATGCTCACAATAATTGATGCATATTATTATAAATGATAATTATTTTGCTACTTTTTTATATGCACTCAGATAAATTTATTCTGTTGTCTTAACCATTAAAAATTCTTTCATATCAACCCTTTACAATCTCATTTTACTATTTAAGTTTAAAAATGGAATTGATGTTTCAATTATCTAAACATTCATTACCTTTCACATCTAATCCTTAAAATAATACATTTAAACTAATAATATATGACAATTATGATATAATCTAATTAGTAATAAATCAATCGTATTAATTTTGAAGATTTATATGAAGTTTCAAGTCAAGAAAACATATATTTAATCTCTTTTTGCATTTCAAATTAGATTTTATACTGATATCAAAAAATATTTTTACTGAAACAAAATATTTATAAAACATGCATTTAAGCTGTACAATAGTTTTGATTAATCAATTACGATTAAATTATCTAAATAAGAAAAAACTAATTTTGATAATAGATAATAAAATTACAATAATTAAGTGAGCATTTAAGTTATATAAAGAATAAAAGTATTGGGAAAAATATCAAAGTTTTTTATTATATATATATTTTGAATATAAATTATATAGTGAGATGAAACAATTCAATTTTTAATAATTATTTATCAAATTCTTTTTTACATAAATTATTTTATGTTCATTTAAAACAATATATAATGATAAATTAGTTATTCAAAATAATCATTATTACATTTATTATTATCTTAAAATTTCCTCTTATTAATCTTCAAATTAATTTAGCATTTCCAAAAATTGTCTCTATAATTATTCAAATATAGGTCTATTTTTTGTAATTGCTTCATTCTCTTATTCTGGTGTAATTTCAGCCAATCCATATTATTTCCTTGCTCTATTTTTTTATATAGAATTTCTACCTTTCAATATCATTTTCATTATCATCAATTTATATTTAACATGCTAAAATACATAAGCATGCCTATCTTAAGAGATCAAAACTTAAATAATAAGAAGCAGCTAAAACTTTATCAAATAATTCATCTGATAACTATAAAACTTGAACTGATTATTAGTCCAGATTATCATTTATTTTATTATTGATGATTGGTTTTTTAATTCTTATTGCTTCTCTCTCATAATTATGAACTTCACAAAATTTCTTAATGACATTCAAGACAGGTAACTATAGTTTTAAATTAAATATTTACATCAATTGCAATTGGCAATGGTTCATCTATATCTTTATCTTATAATAAATCACAGAAGTTTATTAATTCACTCTTAAATTTAATGATTTGATTATCACTAGTTTAAAAGACCCATTCTTATTCTTAAGTAGAATTCATATAATAAATTAAAATTAATTGTATTTTATTTTATATTATCATTCTAACTAAAAAAAAGTGTATATGATAACCGTTAAGTATTTATCAATATACAAGTAAAACAGTAATACGGTAATACAGTAATACAGCTTTTATATAATAAATTAAATTAATCAAAATTCATCATTATTATGTTCACTAATTTTTTTATATAGACGAGAATAATCATCAATTTTTTAATTGTTCTGCCTCAATTTACGCATTTAAGATTTTAAGAATTTAGTCACATTCTATTAGTCATCATTTGTTTCATAAGTTTACTATGTTGTACCCCTATCACTTTCATCTACTGATATACTTTATTAATATTAATTCTATCGTTTATGATCGAATTTCATTCTATCTTACATAAATGAATTTTAAATAAATTATGTTCTATTTTATAAATCTCTATATTTCTTTTTCAATTTTTCATTAATCTCTTACAATATACAGCTTTTTTATTACTCTTCTTCTAATTAAGAATGAATCTCAACAATTTGCTTTTTTAATAACTAATTCTAATATCTTTGAGCTTTATAATTTTATTATGCCAATTTGTATTTCTTATTTAATTCTTCATGTTTTTATCGAATAATGTTAAATTTAGCAAATAATACATTTTCTAATTAACTATGGTTTTCTGAATTCAAAGTCAAACAATCAGAGCTTTCATTTAAAAAGTTTATATAATCATCCATTGCATTCATAAAATTCTTAAACTCTCCTTATTTTGTTGATTAATGTTCATCAAATACAAATTTCTTTTTTGTTACTTCTGTCTTCTAATCTGTCTTATCTTAAAAAGTAAATGGGTGATTTTTAAAGTCAATTTAATGATCATCACTTTATTATTATAATATTCATATCTTACAATTCTAATTAAGACAATTAATTCTTAAAGTTTGGTTTAGTTCTTTGAAGCGAAACGGGAAAGGACTCTGTAAAAGTCTTATCCTTTAATACTTCACAATTAAATACTTAAGATAGTTTGTGATATTGCATGAAATCAGTATTTACAGATTGTCTCCTCCCAGTTTTCCTTAATTCTTTTAAATATGAATAAAATATATTACACGCATAATTTATGCTCATCCTTAATTTGATTTTAAGGTAGTTAGTATATTAAAATAAATTTATAAAACATAATTTGTATTTTAATCAACTAATTGACTAAATGAAATCTCAACGAACCTTGCATCTTTAAGTCCAATACCCAATTTCTTATTCTTATTATTAAATTAATTTATTTAGATTAACTTTTATTTCCAATCTACGCAAAGGTGAAGGAGCCATAGATGGATTTGAAAGTGATCTTAATAACATAGAAGGAGAACAAGTACTAAAATAAATGATATTCATTACTTTTATACAGTTGTTGGTGAAGACATCTGTGATGGATTCTTTTTAATTTATTTTGGCTACTCTATTAATAATAAAATAATACCAAATAAACTTGATATTTTTTCTTTTTTTCATTTTCTTTTTCAAATGTACATGATTAAGTAGGTCCACTTTATACCTATTGAATAATGCTTTTGTAAGATGCATGAAATTAATAATTGTCAGATTTATTTTTAGATTTCTTCATATTTTAAATAAGTTTAAGTAGCATTTCATCTGTAATTTGTTTTCTAGAAGATCCACCTTCTGCTCTAACAGTACCATTGCCATAATTTGAACCATATGCTTCAACATGTCTTGTATCATTACGTTCTGTTAAAATTTCTTTCACTTAAAATCTTTTTTACAATATTTGATCATATTTCTTCATTAAAGATTAAATACTAGTGGATTTATTATTATTATTATTAACAACTGTAGTTGTTGAAGATTTAATACTCTCTTATAATTTCAAAGGTGGTATAAGTAATTTAGGCTATTGAGATTATTAAGATGGAGGATTCTTCTTAACATTTGCACTAGTTGGCAATTTCTTCTTTAGTGGAATCTTAGTTATAGATGATAAATTCTTTGATGTCTAGATATTAAAATCATTAAAGATATTATCAAGTTCTTAATCATTTTAACAATTAAACAATTTATTATGATCTCCAGATGTATTAATAATTGAACATTAACATTATTATTATGTTGGTTTATTTTATGGTAATGATTTCTATGCTTCTACTTATGATATCTCATAGATATTATGAGATTTGCTGTCCCAAGAAATTTGTTCCTTCGGATAGGAACTAAATAAGTATGTCGATACTACTCAGATACAGATTCAACATAATTCTCACTAAATATATGATCTGGAATCATTTTTTTAGTGATTGGTTGTTGATTCTAATTATTTTATGCTTTTTATTGTAATTTTAACAATTTATTCTATCTCTTCTCCATAAACTTATGAGCATTAACTTTACATAAATTTGGTTATATTATCTATAGTTATATTATGTTTAATTATTTACTTTATGTTACTCAAAGTAGAAATTGCAAAGTAAATTTAATCTTGGATCTTACTCTTCTCTTTAATAAAAACGTTTCATATATTCGTTTTCATCATGCAAGTACAATTAGTCTTTAAACAAAATTACATGATCTACAGGAACATTTGCTAATATTTCTGTAATTGGTTTAGCAAAATAGAAATTAAACTAATCAAAGTATCTAATTATTCATATTAATCAAATACTTTTCATGTATTTCTTTCTAAATAAACTTGCTTTATCTTAATTTACAAAATTGACAGTTATAATTGTGTTGTTGGTTATTCATTAAATTCAAATATAAATAATTAAATTTTACTAATTTTTCTTATAAAATGTCATTTATTCAAACCTTCTAATACTTCAATGTCTTCATCTCCTTTTCTCTTAACTCTTTTTCTATTTCTAATTTTCTAGTATTCTTTTCCCTTTATCTCATAGTCTCTCTTGCATCATTTCTACAATCTAAAACTATCATTATACTCAATCATCAATTATCGCTATCTTTATTCTTCTTCTAAAATCTATTACTTTCTTCTTTTTTATTCCTATTCCCATTCTAATTAATTTAATCTTTAATTAATCTCTAACTATTTTATTAAATGTTCTCCTGCCTTCTCTTCTTAAAATATTTTTAATCTTCTCTCCTTCAATCTCTAACCCTAAGCTTAACTATTTGATCTTCTTTCAAATTGATATTTAATCAATTACTCTTTACTTGCATCCTCTATAGCTTTATTCTAATTAATATATTATTCAACAAATTACAATCTAAAAATTATGCATTTTATCTTCTTTCTCTTTATTGATCTTAATCTAATATTCTGAAAATGTTTTCTTATATTTATCCATATAACTTAATTTTTTCTTTTCTTTCTCTTCAAATTTCTCTCTCCTTTCATAATCCTATGCTGCTAAAATTTACTATATTAATAAACTAATAATCTTATACATATGCTTTTTCTATTTTCTATTATTTTAATGCTGATTATGTTTATAATTATTATTTTGTCCATTATTTAGATTCTTCTATATATTTTAATTTCTTTAAATTTTATTACTCTTTTTTTTCTGATTACTCCTTTTAATATTAATTAAATTTATCTTTATCATTTAAAGCACCCATTGATTTTTAAAGAATTCTTAAAAAATGTTCCTCTTTTATTTATTTTTGTTCTTCATGAAAATCTTGTAATAATGACATCTACTTTTTTAATTGTTTATCTTTTCTCTACATTTTCTCCTCCAAAATAGCTTATCTTTATTATTAATCTTTTTGCATTCTATCCTTATGTAATTGCAATCTCTTTGAATTTAATTCCTCTTATTCTTTTAATTATCTAGCTTACCATTATTAATATTCCTCCAAATTCATTTCAGCCTTCATTTACTTTGCTTCAATCTCAAAACGAAACTTCTAAAATTCTTTTTCATCTTCAATTAATTTTCTTTATATGCTATATTATTTCTCTATCCATTTCTGATTATGTGATTGAATCTATTAATCCCTTTAAGCTCGATAAAATTGAAAACTGCTTTTATACATCCTTGTTTAACCATCACTTGTACTAGACAATAAACCTCCAGTTTGAGTCATTAAATCAGTTGGAGCTGTTTCAGGTTTTATATTAGGTTAACTTTATAATCTTAAAAATCGTTGTGATTTTTGCTTTAACTATTCTAATTTATCAATCTCAAACATAATCGAATTTATATGCATATCAATATCTTTAAGCAAAATTTTGTAATATTCATTTTCTGTTGAATGGGGCTCTACATCTTTTCTCAATAATCCAAACTAATCTATTTTTTTATTATTACATCTTAAACTAAAGTTATTCTCTTTTCTACTTTAGTTTGTGAAATTTTATTAATTTTCTTTATTTTATCTAATTCATCCCATTTAAATCCTTCTATATACAATAAATGAGTTATTGATTTGTCATGTTCTAATTCTTCTGTATTGCGTTTTTCTAAATCTTTATATCGTTCAAGCAGTTACTCCATGAAGACAGACTTCAAAATTAATATAAAATTTATTATTGATTATAAATCTTTATATCTAGTTATCTTATATTTTTTAATGATAATTAGCATAATTAGTTAATCAAATCACTATATTTCAAAGCGATACCTTAAGATAATTCTTGATTCCTAATTCAATAGAAGAATAAACAAAATTTACGAAAATTACATTCTATTATTATAAGATATTCATTATTATCATCATATAAATTGCAATTATATCATTTGCTTTCAATAATCTTAAAGTAAAGTATTATTGAAAAATTAAATTCTAAAATATTCCTATATTAATTCTTATATAAACTCCAATTAACACATCAATCCACTTTTATAGATTTCTATTATCTACTTTAAATAAATAGCATTTTTATAATAAAATATATTTATTTCTTAGTTAATTAATATTAAATTATATTGATTTATTTAATCTTATCTTATATCTTTTCTTTTTTATATGTAATATATTGGATTTCTCAAATTCTCTAAGTATGTTTAAAGCTATTATTCAATATCATTAAAAATTTATTTTATTTATTTTTTAATAGTATTTAGATATCAATAAATATAGAAATATAATATCAATAAATTAAGATTAAAAATTTTGGATTTTCATCACAATTGAAATTTTAAATTAATTCTAATTAAATTACAATTGAATAATTGTATAAATGATCATAATATACATTATTTATTTATTATTATTTAGGTAGTGATATAATGAATCTTATTAAAGTTTATAAATCTAGAAATATTAACTTGATATTAATTATTTTTATTTATTTATGAAAAATATTAAGTTAAAATAATTTGTTCTTTATTATTAATTTTTTGTATCATATTTCTTAATTTCTATTAAAATATTATGTTAAATATCAGCATTAACTCTAAAAAAAACTTAAATAAATATCAAAAATAATTAATTATTTGGGGAATCCAATAATATTATTATATCATTTTAATTCATTTTATATTGGTTAAGATAAAAGTTTTCAAATATAATGCAAAGTTTAAGTCTTAAGTAAAAACAAATTAGATTTTTTAAAATAAATGCTCAAATTCCAAAAAAAGAATTAAAACTAAACTTAAACTTGCTTTAAAAAAGTATATGGAAGTATGGACCTATTCGGATAGCCTCCTGCGTTTAAAATTCTCAAACAAGAAAAATTTACAACATCCTTAGGATTTTTGTTTACGGTTGGTATATCAGTGGTGTGTGTTCTTTATACAATTATATAATTGGATGAGTTATACTCTCAAACAGGGCCTAGAGTAACAATGTCTGAAGAACAAGTTGTGGACACAAGTGTAATAATTAAAAATAAGTAAGGCATACTCTTTGTAGATGAAAAATTATACAATTGGAATTACGATGGCTAATATATCATTAGGATCTCTTTAAACACTAGGAACTCATTTTACAATGACTGTATAAAATTGTAAAAGAGTCAGATCCATAGACCCAACCACTAACAAAACTGTGATATCCTAAAAGTAAATAAATATTCTATATAGTTGTACTATATACCCAACTGAGCCTTGTGGTTAATAACATTTTGTAACAGATTTATAAAAGGCATATTTTTCAAAAATTAAACTTGGTTTTGTTCAATGTTTTAATGTAGAATAGTGGCAAAATAATCCACCTGTAAGTATATTTTTCTAACCTATAGTAACTTTAAGGGACTGTTTAAGGAACAGTATATTAATATCTATAGATAACAATCGCTTAATGTAAAAATACCACAAATAAAACTGATTGTGCTCCTTAAGAAAAAATATGGAAAGAGTTATAAACAGGGTATTATGCAGTTCACTTAATTGATAATTTAGTTTAAATGAAAAATCCTGGGACTCCATTCAAAGACATAATTAATTTACAATATACCACATTTTCAAATTCAACATCAAAATCTATATTTTAGAGTTTCAAGATTACTCAATCTGATACAGATATTGGATATATAATGGAAGATATTTAAACAGAATATGGATTAGTTTAATCATAAAATAGAGAAAGTCAAGATAATTATAATAATTAATTTATTGTTTAACATATAATAAATTTAGATTCAAGATAAGCATCTTATAATAGAGAATATTAAAAGCTATAAGATATTTTTGGTAATGTTGGTGGTCTATGGCAAATTTTATTTTTGGCCATGAGTGCATTATTACAGCCAGTAACATCAACCTTCATGAATTTGCAGATGGCTAATAAATTATTTAGATTTGAAAATGAAAGTAATCAGGAAGGTTTATAAGCATAATAAAGTTCAGATTCAATAGATGAAATAAAAGAAAATATGAAAAAGTCTGGTTCACCAACAAAAGTAAATGTTAGAGGTTCTTAATAATTTGATCTTGAAAGTAGAAAGTCTTATACTAGCAAACGTTCTCTTGGAGGATAAAAATCAATGAGTAAATCAGTTTTCGTTAAAAGTGTTGATAAAGTTAATAATTATAAATAGATGATATAATTATTAAAAAAGAGGAAATAATCTTTAAATTTATCTATGAGAGATATTATAATAATGAGTTTTGGATGTAGAAAAAAAGAGAAATAACTTATTAATTATGCAACTGAAAAATTTATGAACAAATTAGATATTGCTAATTTGATATCAAAAGTATATGAAATAGATAGATTAAAATTAATATTATTAAATGAATAGTAATAAAAACTATTTAATTATTTACCTAAACCCATTATTCCTGAATCTCTATTTGGAGATGATTTCCATAAGAAAATGAAAATTGTAGAATAAAAATAAGCATATAAGGTTATACTTTAAGATGAAAAACCTGAATTTATGAGATTATAAGAAGCATTCGTAGCATATGTAAAAATATAATAGAAAGATGAAATTTCAGAAGTTGATAAAAAGATTCTTGATATTCTTGATGAAGATATTTTAGAATTATTCGAAAATTTGCATAGTAACACTTCAAAATTAGAAAACATCTTTTAAGATAGTCCAATGAAATTACAGTTATAATTTTCTGATATTGAATCTCCAAAATCTAATTTTTAACCTGAATTTGATGAAGATATGGCTAATTAAATACCGGTTCTTCCTGCCATGCTTAGATCTTAAGAATGAAATATAGATAATAATATAAAAATTAAATTCCCTTATTTATAGTTTTATTTACTTACATTATTCTAAAGAAATTCATAAATTAAAAAAAATGAAAGTTTTTTCAGTAATAATGATATTATAATTAATTTTTTAATGAATTAATTAATACTTCACATTTTAATGT